CGTCATTAAGTTAATTGACTTTATTAATTTATAATTAGATTGAGCGAAAGATAGAGGAAACACTTGTTAATTTGCTCTCCTCTCCTTTTCTCTCCCCCAACTCTCCAACCCTCTCTGTACATCTATTTATAAATTAATTAAGTTGATAAGTGGTGCTTTAGTTAGCTAATACACGAAAAGTTCAGAGAAAGAAGAAAAGATGAGATTTGACGTGAGTTAACAAATATTAAGTTTTAAAACTTAAAAGCACGTCCTCCCTCCATTTTTTAATTTTCGCTATAGTAATTCTATATGTAAATACAGTTTTTATAAGTGCTATAATAACATTTTTTAATGATACAATATCCCATCTGAACTATAATAATAATACTATAATAATATTTTTAGACGCCACAGTTCACGCCTGTAGTACAGTAATAATACTATAGTATTTTACTGTAGCGTGAATATCAAATCTTAGATCATTTCTTTCTGCGGTACAATAACAATACTCCAACGATTTACTGTAGCATTTTCATATAACGTGAATAGTGAATTTTGGATCCTCTACGAAGGAATAAATTTTAAAATATGCAAAAAAAAAAAATCTTTTCTCGGATGAAGTTCAGAAAACCGACGCATCATTGTGGGTCCCACGCAGTCAGTGTCAAGAGCAATTAATAATAGTACTTTCCTTGTCTCCTCCTATCAACAAGGAAAGTTGAATTTAGGGCGGTCAATAAACCAAACCCGAAGAAAATCCCAACCGCTCTCTCGCGCCTGCGTTCCCGTGCTCGTCCGCTGCTCATTATCAAATGGAGAGGACCACGATCGCGACCGCAGCCGCGCTCTCCTCCCTCCTCGCGCTTATTCTCACCGCTTCCGCCGGCGAATCGAACGCAACTCAGCTCCTGAGAAGAATAGCTCCGGCGGCGTCCGATGGCGGTCTCTGCGCCCAGATGATCCATCCTTTGGGATACCCGTGCACTGAGCACTCTGTATAGTCTGCACTTTAGTCCTTCATTTTTGCATGCTTTGACTTTTTGAGGGGTTTGTTGAAATTTTTATATTTTTTCTTGGGTAGGTTGAGACTGAGGATGGGTTTCTTTTGGCAGTTCAACGCATCTCCCATGGGAGGAACGCACTGGGGAGAAAGTCTGGGTCTTATGGGCCTCCGGTTTTCCTTCAGCATGGGCTGTTTCAGGTTCTGCTTTTTTTTTTTTTTACTTTCTGGCCTAAATTTGCCAATTTTGGATTTTTAACCATTTTAGAGTATAATAGAACTTATGTACCTTCAAATGTGCTCATTCCGATTGGTGAAGTGATCATTATTGATGATTAACAATGCTGGCTTTTAGCTCTCAAATGGTCGAGATCCTCTAGTAATTGTATTGTTCAGGCATTAATGTCTAATAGACTATTGAGTTTGAGAGTTATGGCAAGTTGCCAAATACTCTGTAAAATATCATAGTGGTCTCAATGAAATCAAATTGTGACAATTGTTTTTTGTTTTCCTGGAAGTGGTGGTGGTGTTTTTTTTGGGGGGTGGGGGTGGGTGGTTGGGGGGAGTTAATTATACCACTTCAACTATAATGGGCCAACTTGGATTGAAAATTAGGAGATTAACAGTAAACAGAGTAAGGCAGCTCTCATGGAACTAATATTGTAGAGGATTTAACATAACCAAACTTCGTATTGCTTATGTTTTTATAGTAAAAGGGATAAATCGGCATCATTTGGATAAATCATAAATGTATAGTGTATTTCTTCCTGGGGAAGTGTTATTGTTCCTCTAGATGAGCTCTTTAAGCATCTAGATGAGCTCTTTAAGCATTATCAGGATGTGTTATGAGGTGCTAGAAACTTTTTAAGTGGGGAAGATTACCACTTACGGTTTAGGTTAATATGCTGCATCTTGACTCCCGAAGAATCATCATTGAAAAACTGGGAAACTTTCTATAAGCTTGGATGAAAGAGAGGAACTGCTTACAGATGAGTATTATAGTGGAGTGCATATAGTATTGAATGCTGAAGTTGATCCATGCAGTCTTAATAAATTGTCTTTATTTAAGTTAAAAGAAAGATAGCAAAGGACCTCCTTGTACTAACTTTGTTTGCAACTAGACACTCCCTAAACTATGGAAATTAGGAGAAAAACGCAAGTACTTTGTCTGGTCTAAACTCCATGCCATTTGCATAGTAGGGGTGGATCATACGACATGATACATGGCATAAATAGACCAAAGTGCCCTATTAAGCAGAGCATACTTTATGATCCAGAGTGGCAAAGTGCTTAGTTCAATAAGTGTATTCTGGGCAATTCGGTGAGATATGATAAGATGAAATTCACATGATTCTTCCTTACTCATGGTAAGACATGCAGTTAGCACATAGTACAAGAGCGTTATCTGTTGATTTCTGCAGTAGGAGGGTGTGCTGCCTAATGACAATAGAAAGTGGTGTTTTTGCAAGGTACCCTTTAAAATGCATTGTATAAAATCCTTTCTAAAAACATCTACCAGGTGATTCATATATCAGCTCCTTTAGGAAATGCTATTGGTCAGGAGATCATGCCATCGAAAAGAGTTTAATTGCTATTTAAGAAAACAGACATTTGGTATCATCTATTTGCTTATCTAAACAATGATATTTGAAAATTACTTTATTACTTTGCTTACGCAGAATATTGGTAGTCCTCTTTGTTTTATCAGATGAAACTTGAAACTTGTTATCACTTGTACTCTTGCAGTTACTTCATTTATTGTTGATATCAAATTATCAACTAGATTTTAGAGGTTCTCTAGGCATGAATCTTTTTCCATTCCTCATAATGCAAGTGGTCAAGAATAATGCTACATTCGAAATACAATTATTTGCCACAGTTGTCTGTCTTAATCTTCTAAGATGTAAAATATGCAAATTTTAAACTTGGGCAGGGAGGCGACACGTGGTTTGTGAACTGTCCGGAGGAGTCACTCGGATTCATCCTTGCGGATCATGGCTTTGATGTTTGGGTTGGGAATGTACGAGGCACCCGTTGGAGTCAAGGTCATGTTACATTATCTGTGCATAGTCGGGTACATTTTAAAGCTTATATT